AAAATCTAAATCGGAGCGGTTGAGATCTCTAGATCTATGGACACCTAAAACAATGAATGCATTGATGAAAATACTTGGAAAAGTAGAAGATCTACACTTTAATTTAGACTTGTTCATGGTACTACATATGGTAACACATAGAACAGAGGTAATCAACTAAAACTTAACAAATTCTGGGTCAAATCTGTATCAAAACTTAAGAATTTCCACAATATAAAGTTCCACATGCAGTATCATTCAGTGCGAGGTATTCAGAAATAGCCCGGCAGTTTTGGAAGTGTTGGTAAACAAAGTACAATTCAATTATAAACTTCTACAATAAGCTGAAGGCTACTCTAAAAACAAAATATTAATAAAATCTTATTTTCTCATTTCAGATGTAAACTATCTCAGCTTTAGACTCTTTTTTTTCTCTCTATCCTTCCCCTGACTTACTTTTACAGACTTCTGCATCTCGTGCCTTTATGCAGTCTCTGTTTTCACACGCTCTCTGAGTAAAGGATTTGAGAGGTTGAGTAGTGTCACGTGGGATGAGTTATAAAGCACGTGACTTGTCTCCTGTTTCCTGTGTGCAGTCAGTGAGTGCTGCAAAGGCGAAAGAAATGGTTGCACAGATTAAAAAAACATTACCGTAAATAGGAGAAATGTTGCATAGCGTGAAACAGAACTGTGTCTGACACGATCATACTGGGGATCTTCTCACTCAGTTGCATCATGTAGACCCAAGACTAGGCAATAAAACTGCCTTAAACCATTTACAGCAGTCTGAAGCTTGAGATTTAGCTTCACGCAGGTTGCATGTCCATACACGGACATCATAAACAGTCTTTGTATGCATTTATATGATAGGTATCGAGCTGTTTGTATTTTCTATCTTAAGAATGTAAATGCTAGCTAGAGTCAAGGCCACAGTTAAATGTACATGTGACTTGATAGAGGGAAGGCCTGGCTTCTGCTTGGGCCTTGTCGTTATGGAAACAACAAGTTTGCCAGACTGGCTCTTTAGAAAACAGATATTCATCTAAAAAAAAAACCTAAGCTACAGCATGGGCTCATATTTATGAAAATAACAGGATCTTTTAAAGATTTTTTTCTATCAATTAAATGTTTAAATTCAATTGGAGGCTTAAGCTCCTCCTCGAGTGTCTAATGAGAGTTTGCAGTGAGGATAAAGCTGGGACTGATTTCACTGATGCATCAGTCTGGCACAAAACTCTGTTTTCTCACACGTCTGTCTGATGGCTGCTCTGTTTTTCTCACAGCACATTATTAGTATAAGCTTCTTTTGCTTGCTCTGTAATGACAAGGGGATTCCTCAGCACTTAATTCCTTATGTTTGATTTGGCAGGATTTTTTTTTTTTTTTAAATGCCAAATTCCCTTGCTGACACAATGCTGAAAGGATTTGTCTCCCACAGATTATATGTATAAGTGCAATATCAAACATCGAGGAATGAACATGAATAGACTTAAATAGGATTTAAAAAATAGCAATGCACAATGACCGACAAATTAAAGGAAAAACCTGAACCCTTGACTCCCTACAATGTAGGAATCCAATGGCTCTGGTCAGCATTGTGCTGGCATGGGAGGAGTCTTCTGAAACTTATGTTACAGTATTCACATACACAAGCTGCCAAGAGATATAAATTTTGTTATCAGAACACAGGACACTATATACACATACACATTTACATAGACAAAATTAGAAAATAGTACAGCAACTAGTCTTTCAGAGTCACCAGAGATCAACTCAGCCCCACCTTCCGGCGGGGGGG